TGAATCAGGATACAGGAGGGCTCACATGCTATGTCAGGAAGCAACGCCGCAAATGAGTTTTGGTGGGAGACTTTGACTAAAGAGGTTAAGTATAACGTTGGCCAACCCCAGCTTGTCTGCAAAGAATTTGGCTGCCTTGCAATCCTTGACCGTCAGACTCCCTGTGGTACGAGGGCCAACTGAGCGCCATCCCAAATCCGACGCTAACCAGTACCTTGTTGGGATGATTGAAACACATGTGATTTGCTAGCCCAGGTGTTTGTAGGATATAAACTGGGTGTCGGTTCGCTAACCCTAAGAAATCGCTGCTATTCTTCATCATGCTAGCATTAGCGTTACATGGCGTTACTGTGAGAACAGCCGGGATGATAATACCGCTGAGCCTCTTCCTTTCCAGGATGTGCACCAAAATCGTTCAAGTGTGATGCCGGAGATCGACGAAGAGCGAGAGCCGCCGCCTTGTTGAGTGAGGGTCGCCCCTAATTCCGCTACTCAAATCCGAACACGTGGATGCACTCATCTTCCTCAAATTGTCGTGCTCTTCCGAATACAATCGGATGTAACACTCTATGATTCAATCATGAACTTCTTCTCTTATGGGCGTTTCAATTGCTTTTACCTGGCCTCGTTGACTGCTTATTTCTGTAAGGACGGAGAAAGTGGACAAGGCGGTTGTGGTGATGAAGCTCCACATCTGAACTTTTATTTCAACAACAAACGACGATTTCTCTGTTCTGCCATTCTTCGTATTACCTCGTCGCACCATATGTACTAATTATAGAAATAAAAATCCCCACCAACGGCTAGACTGCCTTCATCGGGGATCTTGAAAGGGTTTTCCGTCGCTGGATTCTCTGTATCCGCAAACTTATCCGTCAGATGCAGCCAATCGACTGGACCATCAGCTAGCTGATCCAGCCAGTTCATATCCTGATTTTGCCCCTGTACCGTGTTCCGACACATCCTCAGATACTGGACTGGAGTCACGCCAACAAACTTCTTAAAGACTCTATGAAAGTACCATTTTGAAACGTTGGCTTGCTTCGCCATCTGGCTCAGGCTCAACTGGCTAGGACCAGTGTTACTGACTGCTGCTCTCTCCCACTCCTGTAGTAGTTCCCGGATCTTCTGAACGGCGGGATCTTCTGGCATACAGCCATCGAGTTCCGGTTTGCAGCGTTTGCAAGGGCGGAAACCTGCTAACTGTGCTTGCTGTCCCGTTACGAAGAATAGCACATTGCAGCGGCGAGGGTGTCTGGATTTGCAGACCGGTCGACAGTAGACTTTGGTGCTGCGCACTGCAGTAACAAACATTCCATCAGCACGAATATTACGCTCTTGTACAGCCTGCCAGCGTGAATCGTCGTCTTCGAAGCTGGCTGAAATCGTAGGCTGGAGAGAGTCTGGCGAGTAGAAGATGTTTTCCATGACCCTAACGAGTCATCCAAAAATTGTTGGAGGGCAAGGCAAGAGAGTAGTAGAATTAATTGGCAATCAACAGCCTTTGGGATTAGTTGCAAGTATGTAGAACGACTACTGGCAGATGGAGGCCGGTGGGAGGCAGCTACTTAGTTATATGCCGACCCCTTCTTTGACTCAGTTAGCAGCAGCCCTGCAGTAGATCCAAATACGGCAACATAGCCCAAAACCGGGTCAGCGGCTAAGAGAGCGACAGCTTACGGGCGGCACGCGAGCGGCGAGGAAGTTTAATTTACATCCAATGGTAATTTGTCCACAATTTTGACAGCCTCCCACGCGAGCCCTACTAGACTGCCATTTACTAATAAGCCTATCCGTCTCGGATCTCGATTGTCAAAGATAGGGAAACTAGTGTAGTAGGTCCTCATCCTTTTCTGCCTTCACTGTCTTTGCTGTCTTTACTACATTTACTGAAAGCAACCTCTGCTATATTTACTGCCTTTATCACTGCCTTCATTACCTCTGCCATGTCTGGCGCTATAAAGTTATGTTGGTGTCAAGCTCTGTCCGTCATGCTCGGTAAGGCAGGGCGCAGTGAAAGACTCAGCCTTGTTCTGTGCCTAAGATAGGGATTGTCAGTTAAGTTTCATATGCCCTTCATGTCGTAAGTTTTGATTCAAACAGTGGAGAGAAGACACCCACTTGGTAAGTCCTGTCTTTACAGAGATGTATGCAGACACTACGTACCGACATGAAATGTGGAGTGATACCCGATTTTACGACACGTCAGGACGAACCGGTATTGACTTTCTAGGAGAGTTGGTTCTCATTAAAATGGCTTAGTTGCATCGCGTATTGGGACTAAAGCTCATACACGAAATCAAGGGGTAGTTGCCGTAACTTCGGCATCAGGAGTGTCAAGAGGCCAATCAGTTATCTCAAAACGCCCCCCTTCCCTTGAGCACTATAATAAGAAGATTCCTTAGCAAAGTCCAATATTGATCCCCGGTTATACTTCATGGTTGCCGATACGTGCCAGTTTATTTTTATCGTTGGCAGTTTCTGTAACAAGCCTACGGTGATAAGCGATATTCCACCCACTGGGTTAGTGTCAGTGTCAGCTTTTCTCTGCCTTTTCCACATAGTCATTAGTTTCATGACTATATGATCATGTTTGCCGTCTATATACAGCTGTATTAAGGCTTTGTTCATTGTTCAGAATAGTCAATAATGAAAACAAAAACAAATTGTATTAGATCTAATCAGGTGGTCACGGGCACAAACGCTTCACTACTCTCGATGTTTGTGACCTTGCCTACATTGATGTATCTTAATAGCAACCTCGAGTCTCATAAAGCTTGCCAAGGCTGAAAGACTATTGTCAGGGATAATTTGGGCTCGGTAGACGAAACCGGCGACTTGAGCCTTACCGGAAAATCGACGGCTTGTGGAGGCACAGGGCACGGCGTTTCCTGGGGGCGGACTTTTGTTGGAGAGTTGTCTCTTGCTGTTCATGCAACACTACTTCAATGGTGCTGATATGATACGTGGACGCACTCCGACTCTTCAAACACGACCTGGTTGTCAGCTTCGTCATTGCTGACCAGGAATTCGCAACATGGCACGGCATCCGCAGACAGGGTGCTTTTCCTTCAACCAATGGTTTGTTTAGCCTATGTATCGGATAAGATCAAAAGACGACTCATAGATGCTTTAAATAGTCATGAAAGTTGTATCTCCATCAGGAGACCAGCTCATGTCTCAGCCGCTCTGATGCGCAGCTAAGCGCATAGCCCCGCCTCTGCAGAGCCTCTTCAATCTCCATCTCTGTTTCTCCGCATTCAGTTTGATGAACTCGCAAGTCTTTTCACTGGCGTCTGTGAGTCATTCATAGGCAGGAATAGCGCTGAGTGGTGAAGGGGAAGGCGGTATGAGGATTGAAGCTCTAGATGAGTACAAAGACGCCAGAAAGTGGCGTAACTGGATCATTACAAAGAGAGGGAGAATAAAATAGAACCACCTTGGAGAGTATGGTGATCTCGTTGGAGTGAACTAAGCTGAGATTATCTGTTTCAGAATAAAACCTATCGTGGAGACGGAAAACAGTGATACACGATGCGGACCAAGCGATTCGGACGAAACTATCAGACGGAAAAATTATTTCCGAAATTAACAGCCAGCCAGTAACAAAACGAAACAACCGAGCTAAAGCATCTCCAGAGTGGTTATCTAAACGGCTGCCTAGTTATACGAGGCGGAGCGTGCTGAACGACGATACTTTTGGCTGCGGAGTTCGGCAAACAGCACAGGACAGCACAGGGGTTTCTTCGTCTTTGATGTGTATTTCGATAGAAGTCGTATCTAACTATCTGAATCCCAATACCATGAAATATTAGATCTATGCGAAAAATATATCTTTTTCCATCCGTATATCGTCGTATAACGAAAGGGTTAAGGCGTTGGATAGACTGCAACTATCAAGCTTCTATTTCTAGAACATAGTTCTCCATTCGCTCCCTATGCTAGACTATCAGGGCAACAGATATCGCCAAATTCGTCAAAGTCTAGTCCCATCTATTCTTTTCCGCCTCCGGAAATGCATATCGTCGAACCCACCTCGCGAGTTCCGCCGTATCATCCATTTGTATTACCGGTCACATCTCGCAAGTCAGCTAAGCCAAACACGATTCCCCACCGGTGTCTTAACCGGGAAGACGGACATGCAGAAATTCTCCGGATGGCTAGTCGCGTTTAGCTCGGCAGTGTGTTTGTATGGAACACTGATCGCCAGTAGGGGTGTGAGAGTCAGAAAATGGCGAGAAAAATCAGCCTTAAGGAGGCTGACTTTCAAGGCTGACCTTTTATAGCTGAGCTCCAGCAGTGACTGCCCTTAGTGGACCACTAGATACAACTTATCATGTTGTTTCGCACGATTATTGGCGAAAATGAACATGTGATATTTGCTACAGCCCGCAACACCCTCGTATAAATCGGGAAAATTCCTTGGTGTTTAATGCAATACAGAAGAGCTATGCGAAGAGCTCCATAACACTTCAGTCACATTTCCTCCCGCTCCATGATACTGATGTGGTAAGCACGGTTGAGCTCTGATCATCAATTGATGCGAGAGTTACTTTTTAACCTTGTTTTTTTCTTCCTCGATCTAGTAATCGCGCGGTGTCAGCAATCACATGCATTTGTCGTGTGGATTGCTGCTTCTTGGCAGAATCTTTCATTCCAACTCGCAAAATAATGCTGCAATGCAAAGTATTCATTGGCTGTAGGAACTCTTTTTGGCAGAGAAAATATCTTTGTGAGAGCAAATATTTTTACGAGAGCAGATATTTTTATGAGTGCGGATATTTTCATGATGTTGAATGGAATCAGCTGCACAACAGAAAAAAACCCCAGACATCGGGTTAATGTAGCACATCGCAGCACTACGATAATAGATTTGAGAGCGACGAAGCACGGCCACGGCCAATTCATCACCAATTGAGGCCAAGGAGGCAAAACAGAAGCATAACACTCAAGTCAAAATACGTCAGATCATTCATCGTAGACAATTACATTAGATCAGGCATGCCGCATTATGTACAATGTGCTTTGTAATTCCGCTTTACGGCTCGCAAACACCAATCGAAACCCCATATCCTCCCGATCAAATAAATTTGACATGACCAAAGAACTTTGTAATATGGAAGCTTGCCTGGTCCGGCGGCGACCATCCACCAAGAGTCTGGTTAGGGTAAATCTCAGGGCTGACGACAGTTCGGAAAAAGTTCATCCTCCAAGATGTGCCCTTGGCCTTGCCGACGTCGACGTTGAAGATGCCCAGAGGGACAGTAACAGTGCTCTTCCAAGTCTTCGCGGGCTTGTTGAGGACCGTCTTTGCGCTGAAGCCGTCCGTAGCGGGATCCGAAACGAAGAAGTGGTCAAAGGGCGCGCCGACCGCGCGATTCTTTGAGGGGTTGTAAACGAACGCCTGGTATGTGACGTTGTTGGGGTTGACCTCGAGCTCGACGTATGTCTGAGGGTCTTCGGTGCCCTTGTAGAGGAAGGCCTCCATGACTTCGTACTCCCAGATGTCGTCGTTTGTGCCCTGTGAGGCGTTGAAGAAGTAATTGACCTCGTCGTAGGCAATGAATGAGAGCTCGAGGCTCTCGTCTGTGTAGCACAGGTTGACCTGCGTGAGCGGGAAGGGCGTCAGGTCGGGCACTGACTTGCTGTAGCTAATTGTGCCGACACGAGGACATGAGGGCACATTGACACTGGGAAGCTTCGAGTAGGTAGCTGAGGCCGTAGCGAGGAGGCCAGCAGCAGCGGAGAGAGTGAGAAGGTGATGATGCATCTTGGACTGTTCTTGCTCTTGAATTCCTTCTTGTCCGATTCTTCTAGCGCAGAGCCTCTTCGTCTTCTAGGAGATTGAGGAGCTTCGTACTTATATCTCGATCTCGTTCGCGTCACACGAAAGCTTGTGGCAGACCAAAAGCTTGCCATGTGCAGGCTTCAGGCTCAGCTGTGCTACTCATATGTAAATGGCGGAGTGGATGTGACGTTACAAGATAGCCTTTAACCCGGCTAGGCATCTCAAAAGGACCAACTGTAATCGTTCTCGGCCGTTGCTCGCCGCCATCCCTCGAGCTAAATTCAGCCACTTGCATTTTCCAGCAGCTGCAATCGCGTGCGAAAGGAATTAATCCTAACCTTGCTACCGCGTCGGAGTGGTTACCTTTTGTCGAATAAATCCTTGGGCATGCGCAATGTATCCAATCGGATGCGGAGGTTGCTATGCAGGAGGACAAGGGACAGGAGGATGAGGCCCCCATACTGTACGAGTATGCTGCGGGGATCCGAGCCGTCACTATTATGTGTGCGAATCAGGGACTATTTTGTACTCACTATCCCGTGCATATCACAGTACGAGTAATCCTTCGAGGCTCATCCTGCGTAGGAATGCCGGGGATAGGCAATTAATAGGGTACAGCTTGTAGACTAAATAATGTATGGAGGACAGAGTAATACGGAGTATGTGCTATTACACGTGCTATTACCCCAACAATTGGAGAAATAATGCGGAGTGCAAAGGGTGTAGTAGCGCGATTGCGACTCCGTATCGACCAGGGCATCTGCAATTATTGGCCGAAGAGATGTGATGTGAGGTAACATTGACGATAGGATAGTGGCCTGAGCCCAATGGCTTTTAGTGTCAATACGCCAATCGCTGTTACATTGCATTCAATCACGAGAAGACACGCACGACAAGGGACGGGAAGTGGAAGTCATTTTGGACAGTCAATATCCACTTTGTGGGCGCCGTGTTCTATGCGTGTTCAGCTCATTCGAATCACATGAAGGGCGTTTAATCAACGTCCTCGGTCAATTGACACTTTGTAACACTTTAGATAGTCAATTGGTTCAGCATTCTATAGGATTTCTAACAAAAAAAAACTCTCGGCATCTATTCTGGAACCAACGAGGTCCCGCCTATAGACGGCCTCTTCGTCCATCTTCTGCAATCTTCAAGACAGGCTTCAGATTAGTGGCTCGCTCCCAGACGCTAGGCAAACCCTGCTCCTTGCTCTTCTTCTCCTCTCGCACAAACCACTCTTCAACAGACTTGATGCGATTGGGGTGAATCTCGTCCAGCAGAGCAAAGTCACGCTTAATGACACCGCGGTTTCCAGTGCGCGTGTACTTCCACATGTTCCAGAACCCGGTAAAGTTGTCTCGCATGTTCATTGTGCTCGGATCTGAGAGGTCGGCGTTATAGCCGGCAGCAGTCTGCCCGGAGCCAAAGGGTCCCGATGTCCAGTACGTATCCAAGTCGACGTCAACATACTTTGCAGGCTTGCCAGTGACCTTTGTGAAAGCCTTGGCCATTTCGTGGTAATCCACAAGCTCAATGGCGACTTCGAGGTCCAGACCGTTGGAACGATACTGGTGGTCAAACAACCAGCGAACGTAGTACTCGCAGTCGTCGAGATCAACGTGAGCCACAGCGCCTTCTCCAAGAGGCACCTTCCAAGTAACCACTCCGTCTTCAACAACGGGAGACATTGGCGTGCGCATGCCGAGCGCCATTTGGATGTAAGGACCGGTGGTGAAGATTGCGGCGCCCATCCGCTTGGCAATCTCGGGGTCCTTGTTCTGCTGGAGGATCCATTCGGCGATGCGGCCCTTTCCATCATCTGTTTCACAGGTTAACGTCTCATTCGGTATCGTGCAATTAAGCCAGACAAATTATTTCACTAACAATGGCCGGTTCTGAACTTGGGATCGAATCCGCTCTTCTTGTACACGTAATCCAGGTTGCCATACACGAAAAACTTGATGCCCTCTTCCAGCGCAAGTTCGTATGATCGAATAGCCCAGAATATCTCAGTCTTCTCGCCGCTGTTGAACCCATCAATGTTCACAAAGGCATACTGGGCACCGCGAAATCCCTTGCGGAGATCAGCCTCGCTCGCAAAGCTACCCTCTTGAGCTTCAACGTTTCCCAGAGAGAGAAGCAGCTTAGATCTGGCCGAGGTCGCGTCTCTGGTCAAGAATCGCACCGAATAGGCGCCATCCTTGACCAGACCGCGGATGACGGGAATGCCCTGGGCGCCTGTTCCGCCCACGACAAACACGAGAGGTGCCATCTTGGAATGAGGTCGAGTTGTGATAAGAGAGAGTTTGGGGAGTAAAAGCACTGCGGGTTGGCTTCACAGCTGATCGAGTTTCTGGCTTCTTCATCTATTCAGGTGCCGGAGAGCTGGATATTTATACCGGCTATTGCTTTCTCATTATCTCTTCCATGGCCTTCGTTCTTTGCTGCCGAGGCGCCCACTGATATCATATTACTGATCATCGTGTCACGCCGTCAGAACGCACCCTTGAACGCTCTCAATTTCTTAGTATAAAGCGATGGCTTTCCGTGGCTTTGAGTCTATCTCCAGCCGGTGGGATGGCTGTTCAACCGGCATTCCGTAGCGATTCACAAGGAACGGGCTCCGACAAGACGGTGCGACTAGGCCGAATTCGGTGTCTGTTGCCTCGTTTTCCAGTACGGAAGAGACATATGAGGCGGAGATCAGTAATCAGGAATTCAGACTTGTCCGATTACTGATCGCGCAGGGTCACCAATTGCCGTTTTCTTGCGCGGCAAGATCTGCCCTCCCTATTTGTAACAACAGAAGCTTTATCTTCCGGGAATCATCAAGTAATTACTCCGATTATCCGTTCCAAGGCATCTCTTCACCAAAGTATAAATGGTAGATATCGCCACGACTTTTTGGGCTTTGTCAATTGATGGCAAAGATTTGAAATCCACTGCATTCCATATATGGTGATGACGATGGGGCATCGCTTTTTACTTGGGAATATGCACTACTGGGCATTTTATCCAAGCAAGCGAGAGAAAAAGCGAGACCGCAAAATGTATACGTACATAGGTACATTCAGTAATCCGAGCACCTAACCAACTCGTAGAACGCCTATTCAGCCACCAGCCGGACTTTACTATAAATATAGTAGCAATTACTAGAAAAATGTAGATAAAGTAGTGGTTGCTAGAAAGATGCAGATATAGTAGTAGTCACTAGAAAAATGTAGATATAGTAGCAGCAACTCAAGAAATATAGACATAGTAGGGAAATGTAGATATAGCAGCTATTCCTTTTGTAGGCGGCGTATGGTTTAACTTGTTGGTGTTTAAAATCTTCCCGGTCTCGGTTTTTCTGTCCTCCGCTTGCCAAGAATTGGGGGTGTGGATAAACCGTTCCAGTCTGCCGGTGACACTCTAAGCGTGTGGGTTGGCTTTGCGTTAAAAAAACAAGGTTATAAGTTGTGGTCAGCATTGGATGACCTTCATCACACCAGTCATATGAATAGCACATGCTTGCAGATCTAAAGGCAGAATCCGATTGGTACAGTAGTTGCTACAGTGACGAGGAAAAATAGGTGTAATAATAATTCATGAGGCCGTATTCTATCCTACAACTCCTCCATCATCTCGTCTTCTTGATGCGGTTGCCGACTGGAGCTTCCCTTTTCTTCCTCCCACTCTTTCAGCCAGGCCTGCACAAACTCAATCTCCGCCTTGTGTGCTTCCGTAACTTGAGGGGGCGGCAGACCTGGGACGTGCGTATCCTCAGACAGGCCAAACTCATCCCAATGGTGTACGCCCCAGTCAATAAGCATAAACGGCTCACTGGTAGTTGACTTTCGGTCGGGAAGGCCAGTTGCGTGTGGTGTCGCAGATCGCCATGGATCCTGCAGCCCATCTATAATCGCCAGACGAGGGTAGCTGAAGTTGAAGCCTCCTAGCTTGTTGATGGACTCTACATCGGGAGAAGAAGTGATGTTAAAGAGGATTTCGCAGTGCGACGAAGCCGATTTGAGGGTAACGGCTCGAGAAATCATAGGAAGCTGGTCTTTCGGGGTGCCTGAACCAGTGACAAAATATCCCCATCTGGGAAGATTTCAAGTCAGCAACACGAAATGGTCGATGCCATAGATGGAGTGCGATAATACTCACTGCGTGCAAACCTGGTAGCTCCAGCTGCGCAGCCATCCAGCCTCAAGGCTAGAATCAGTAGAGATATACTTGGAAGAGAAGCATTCCACGACGGATTTGCCTTTGCAGCTCGAAGACTTGAGATTACGTTTAACGTAATCTCTTACATAACCGATGTAGTTGAGCATGCGGACAGAAAGGACCTCGGCTTGGGATTCAAAGCCTGCTTGGGAGACGAGATTCTGCACAGTTGGAATGAGGTGAGTCGTGCTGGCAAACAGTTGAGCGTTGGAGGTGATGACCGCGCAGTAAATTCCGAGGGAAGACACGTCCTCTTCCGGGTCCCAGTTGGTAGACTGCAGCCCACTAAGACCGCGGGAGATGGTGGTGGCAAAGTCATCGTCGTCGAGATCCCCCAGGCCAAACAGTTCTTTGAATTTACGCACATTGGTCGCGTCGTCGCCAAAGAGGACAGAATCAACCACGTGGGTGAGCTTTTGTGTCGTGGGCCCGCAGTCTCCTGGTGCATACTGTCGCGCCGCTTCGTAATATTGCCATAGATCCTCGACCGCGGCCGTCACACCTGATGATGAGATGGCGCCCCAATAGACATCAGGATACAGTTTGCGCGTAAAGGCAGCAAATGCGCCGGCATAAGAGCCTCCGTAGATGATCCACGGAGCTGCAGAAGCTGTCAGATCTAGGTGCTCCAGACCAGGAAACTCAATATGCTGTGCAAAGTAGGCAGTATCGGCTAGAGCCTGCTCTGTTGTGAGAAAGCGCAAGTTCTCATTCGTCAAGTCGGGCACGGGGAAGCTGGTGCCGTAGTACCGATGTTCCATGACAAGGCCGACGCCTCCCGTTGCCTTTGTCAGAATAGGCACAATGCCATGCTGGAGATATGGCAGTCGCCCATCGCTGTCGAATTCGCCGGAGTGGAGGACGATGACGGGGCCTCCAGGCTTGTAGTTGGACGTGTCGAGCCAGTATCGTAGCGGAAATGAATCGCTCGAATGCGGCTCGTATCTCGATTCGTTGTGGAAATGGTCGATCGGGACCGAGAAGTTGTAGGCCTTGATGTTGGGGTATTTGTCCTCGAGCTGCTTGACCGAGACGCGCTCCTCGTGATCGTGGAGATGTTTGGAGTGCCATGCGAGATTGATGGGCACCAGAGCAGCAGCCTGGCCTGCTGCCATGACGCCGACGGCGCCATATTTGGCGAAGCAATTGAGCAACACCATTTTCGGCCGTTGTCGCCAAGCTGGAAGCTCCCGCTACAGCTGTAAGACGATGGCTAAGGATACTGCAGAGGATGATTGGCAGTTAGTTGGAAATGCCAAAGCACATGGTCAACGGGGAGCACGTGAGGGAGGATATGTGCAGTGGTGCTACCAACCATATGTACCTTGAGAGGTTGTTATGTCACGGGAGATTCGCAGCTCCGGGCTGGACCTTTTGTATCCGGCATCTTGGCGTTGAGTTGCGATAGCGCGATGGCGGGGAAGTTGATCGAGCTGGTTTAGTCTGATGGGGTCTGGTAGCATTACAATAGGTGTGTTTATCAGTGTCTCAGTATGGGCGAGTATGAACCCCGGATCGGTGCGTGAATCCTGGCGCGCCTCGAAATCACCCTACCCGGCACCAAACAAGGAAAAACAAAGGGCGAGTAGCAACACTGTAAACGCAATAGAAGAGTTACTAGTAAGATGACTCAATTTGGTTTGGTTTCAAGGCCGTTGATGGTAATTGCAGTAGATGGTTTGTCATCCTTGGTGATAGTATATCTGGTGTTGGATAATATAGCGTTGATGGCAAATGGGTAGTATGAACAGCATGTGATAGATGATGAGTGTCTACTAGCAATGCAGCAAGAGAGCTTAACGAGTGCGAAAATGCGACTCGGATGAAGCCAAACTTTACTGCCACAAACATTGACGATATACACCGCCGCGCACACTTGGTAGATTAACTATAATTGTGCAGAATAATAGCATCTGGCCCTTCTCAGGTGGGCGAGAAGATCCACGGAAACAGACGGTACAAAATTGATAAGCTAACAACTGCTATCTAGCGGAGTATCTATGTCTGATATGCAATGATGAGACATTTTACCGACCATTCAAGTAATTTGAATCATATAATTATCCCTGCGGACAAGTATAAATGCGCCCTTCAACGACGTGATGATGAAGCGTGTTTTGAATGGGGGATGCAGCCATCTTGCGGAGTGAATGAGTGATCCACTGTGATTGTTACTTAGTCCGAATTATCCAGCACAATGTCATCATCAGATCATCAGGCAGAGTGGCTGAGTGGTCTAAAGCGTTAGACTTGAATTAACACGATTCTCGCTATCTAATACCTTCGGGTGCGCAGGTTCGAACCCTGCCTCTGTCGTTGCTTTTTGCAATTTTCCCAATCTGATTTTTGTTTGTTTACAATTCTTTTTGTCCCTCTTTCTCATATTTGTTTCTTCTGTCTCTATGAACGAGGCTGGCGTCGACTCATTACTCACGTGCCTGTGATTAAATGAACCTGTACAGCGCTTGCAAACGCCGTCACTTCATCAACTCCTCTCAAGTCTACAACGCCCAAACTTGCAATTACATTCTGTGTGAGCAGTGCATACGACCGCCTCCAGACTAACAAAACCATTTTTTGCGACGATGAATGCATTATGCATTCATATGATACTTGTGACGACAGCATCGTCAGTTCCTTTCTCGTCTTTCTTGGGGAACGCCTATTCAGTACCCCAATTGTGCTATCCAGCATCCCGCAAAACATGTAATACCGCATAGTAGACGATATAATAGTAATGGTAGCAGATGCTTAGAGAATTGGGCATCTACCTAATACTCACTTTACGTAAATGCCCGCAGTAGTAAATAAACAGCTTTCCTTCACATCAGGTTTCAATGCTCAAACTCCAAGCAGTCGCAAGGGCGCTTAATAGCTACTCCCTTCTCTTGTTGTCCTAGGCGCCGGGTCTTGTTGAATCATGCGCGGCGGCAAGAAACTAGCCAAAGATCAGGCATCAATACCCGCTTCCCAACATGGCACGAGATCCAGTGCTTCCTACCGGGGAACAACAACTGATGAGACATTCCCCGTCATCTCTCGCTTCCAAATCACAATTATCCTCATTTCTTACATTGTTTCTCTGCCTCTCATTCTCTAGACAGACTCAACATTGATATGGGAACAGTGCCTAACCATAAGCCGCTAGACAACTGGACACACGACACTGGCCCCGGAAAAGGGCAAACGATAGGCCAAACAGTTTCTCGCGAAAATGAAACCACAAGTTCCAAACTTCAGCCGTCCAAAAAGGTCAATGCCGTACCAAATGGTATGCCCTCACCGCTACATTCATCTCGGGCAGCTTCTACAAAGACACAAAACTTAACATCTTCTACGTCTGCTGTAGCTTCTAAGCTTGCTCCACCACATGCGGAAGCTCCCACAACTCCAGTCCTTAAAACTATAGATTTTGTCAGCGACGAGTGTGGCGAGCTAGGCCTGGATTCGAAGAACAATGCGACGCTCATTGGGCGGGTAAATCCATTTCTCAATTCCCATAGAAAGGCCAAGACTCAAGTCATCCAGATTGCCTGTGGCGGCGGCATATGCGTGTTGTTGTTTCAAAGGCAGATAACAAGATCATAACATGAGGGTTTAACGACGACAAGCGCACTCTGAAGAGAGACACCAAGTGGGATAGTGGGACGGGACGTAGGATCGGACGATGACGATGACGATGGTCTGAACCCTCACCAGTCTATCCCCGCAGCAGTTTGCGATGATCATTTCCCGCCCAACATCAAGTTTGCGCAAGTCGCTGCAGGTGATGATTGAAACGTTGTGCTTACCTGCCAACACTGGCTTGGTGTACGGATAGGGTTCTTTTCATGTGGGTTCTCGCCCCAACCCGCAGCTCTATTTAGTTGCATGTACTAATTCATGGACCTGAATTCTCAAGGACACATGCGATTTTGCTTCGACCACACTGGAACACTTGTCAGATCTCAAGACAGGCTAATACTCGTCCTTGGTTTGAAGGGCATCACCCAGATTATATATGGAGCGAATCGCGTTCTCGCCCTTGACATGTCGAGCACAAGATGTGGTCTGGGGTCGCCTTGATGGAGGACAGCTCGGCATCTAATTCTCAGCACAGCAACTTTGAGACGAGTCGCTTATTCGTCAAGACGAGGATGGCCGACCACGCATCTGTCTTTGACCTACTGCAGTTCTGGATCTTGGTCGGGTCAACCACGTCGCACAATTTTCATTGATGAGAAAGGACCACAACTTGGTATGACAGATGCCGGAGGGCAGTTTTCTGTTGTCGCGCAATCGTCCGTTGACGAGTAGCTGACCGTGTTGCTGCTGTGTTGTGGATCTTCTTGTCCAGCCGTTTCCCTCTACTTCATATGTGTGTTTTATACCAGTTTGACCCACAGCGCAGGTATGTCTCTCATAAATTGTCAATGTCAAGCTGTTTTGGCGGCTAACGGAGAGATGGATTTTTTCTCGATCATCTCCGTGGATGGAGAGAGGCTCTCGGTTACGGTCGATCGAACCCACTGCGGGATGACTACGACCTGCTTGATTACTGGGGATGACTACCATCACGTTTGCAAGATCGAGCGATGCCATTGGTGGCTCGCAACGCCGGTGGCCAAGCCTCTGGCGTACAGATAACTCGTATTAGATGATTACGGGCTTCTCAACGGCATTGACAAGGCGCGTGCTTAATTTCTGTCTGTGCGCGCTGGGCTCCGTCCTGTCATATTAGCCGGCTCCTGGCAGTTGATGAATCGCGGCATTCTGGACTGCTTTCGGAACACTAATATCGGCTCTAAGCGGATTCAACGTCGCACTATCGAATTCTTTGCACGAACTGACAGGGTCTTGCCACGTGATGGCGCCGAGCAGGGGAAATTAGCCCAAGACGTCAGAGATGACATTGCCCATTGTCATTTAAAACAAAAGGAGCTCCCTGTCAAACGGAAGCAAGCTCAGGCGTTGCTGGGTTGAGATTCCATCTCGAGCCTTATTTGAGCGGCGGCTGATGCCAAAGGATAGAAACAGGAAGAAACTGATTACGAGTACTGGAGACGGATTTGGGGCGCGTTGATCGCGAAGCACTTTGGCGGAGGAGTTCAATGGGGAATCAGTCCCAGTACAGCCTTGACGGACGAGGAGGAGATAACGAGGGGCAGCGTAGCCGTTCAACCACCGCCACGAGAAGCGAAATCGAGTCCGAACATTACCGTGACAGCAGAGGCAGAGGCAGAGGCTACTCCAACCGAACAGCCCGGGACCGCACTTCCGTATTCCAGCCATCTGGGCCTACATTCTTACGAGACTCTTCGAGAAGCCCCCCTCCGGCGACGAGGGATACCAACCTCGACGCATCGAGCACCACCAACATACTCCAGAAGGCAGGAGAGTTTTACGATTTTCGGTACGATCATGTCGCTCCACCAGCCCCCATCCCAACGGCCACGATTTGTGGACTGAGACCCCGGATATTTTGGCTTGTGTTGGGAGCTGTTGTGCTGCTTGTGGCGGTTGCAGTAGGGGTTGGCGTTGGCGTTGGACTTGGAGCGCAGAAACACAAGTCAAGTACGCAACCAAGGTACGTTGAAGAATACTTTTCTCAAGTTCATATCGATGGCTGTTTGTACTAACCACAATCTCTCTACGATAGCCCTGTAACGACGTCTACCGGGTTACCGCACACTTCGACTTCGATCTCGACCGCGACCTCGACTTCAAAGACACCATCTGCGACTAAGCCCCCCTCGTCTGATGTACTCTCCTGCCCAACCAGCAACGGCACTCAATATAATGTCCCTGACTCCCAAAAGACATTTTTACTTATCTGCGGGATAGATTACAGCGGTGCGGATGAAGCAGAAGACTTGACAAGTGTATATACCGTTGGCATGGAAGACTGCATCACTAGCTGCGCCAACTATCCTGGTTGCACGGGATGTGGCTGGGGTATTCTTCCAGGCGACGGCAGTTTGCATCGCTGTTGGCTGAAAGGATCTCTGAAGAAGACACACAAGGAGAAGACAGGTTGGTACTTTGCGACTTTGGAAGGGACATGATGAATGAATTTTTTTTATTTGCGATTATAGCCTGCCATACAATAGAGGAATAATGTTTAATGTTCTCCATGGGTATGGATTCGTCGTGGCTATGTTGTTTCGCGTCTGTTATACTGTTTCCTCCCAATCGCTAATGACCATATGACTTTATGTAAGTATGTCAGGAGTAAATGCCTAATGAGAGGGTGGAATACTTGTTAACCACCTGTATTATATATATCTGGATCTTGGATAGGCAACTTATGTGGGTTTACTGGGTGCTCACTGCATAGATCAAACGACTAACAGCCTCTTATCAAATTCTGACCTTCTATACAAGCTGCCGTTTACCGTAGCAACTACCAACCTGCTTTAGTTTGGTCATATCACTAAAATTTGCTTCTATACTGCAGGACAATCATCTCGAGGAACTTATCAATTGTTCTTATTAAATATCTGAATACTAAATGTGCAAACGAACTCTATATCAGAGCTCTACAAGAATGAAATCTTTAACCCTGTCCCCTGTTTTCAGCATCTTATCAAGTCTATTCTCGCCATCATCATCCAGAATCCTCTGAACAATGCCCCTCATACAATAATCGAACCCGATGGCATTTGCTGCTCCGTAAAGCCAACCTTGTTTACTGGCTCTTTCCAGCATCAGCAGAAGGTTTCAAGGGGGGCGGCAATGGGAAGAGCGGGCTGGGATTTGGTGAATCTCCAGTCACGAATTCAATCACATCCCAGTGTTCCACAATGCAAGTGCCTTGAAATCTCCAAAAGTCGACAAATGCTGCGGTAGTGCCGTTTTCCATAACACCCATCTCAACACTGATGCCAATGTCATTTTGCACAAACGTGTTCCACACGCTGAAAGAAGTATCATGAAACCAAGGAACAACAAGAGCAAGGCCGTCGGCTTTGCTGGGCCCGTGAAATGCATCGTGGTCCACATAGTTAGGATCAGCAAGTAGATGAATATCGTATGCTTTCGTGATGTTGCGTTCTGTGAACATGATTCCAACAAACTCGGCGAAAATCTTCTGCTGCGTCTCAAAGGTGGCAGCTGTAGGAGGGCAGTATGAAATAGTAGAAGGTGCTGGTTTGTTCGCCGTGGGAGCAGCGTGAATGTTTGTAAGGAGGAGAGAAAGAGCTCCGAGGATGTACTTTGCAGACATAGTGAGAGTCGTGTAAATTGATGTTATAAGCTTGTAATTTGAAGATGGTAGATGTAAGTTGAATGGTTGATATCTCCTCCAAAATCCCACATCATGATGGTTTATATAGAAAATGAGGCCATCTTTCCTCGTCCCTACACCTTACGTCTGAATGTTCTCCTGAATGATTGATTCCACATTTGCCGCCGTGATACCTGGGAGAGATGCTCATCTACCATGATTCTTCGGCGGCATATAGGCCTACCGTCTCAAAGCTTCAACTATCGCGGGGCTCTGGATACTGGCTATTCAGATCGTAATATCCACACCTTTTTGCAGATCAGTGATCAGAGATCCGGCGCGCGCTTGATAACGTGGGAGCCCAGGAATGATGCCATAATCACTGCTTTTGTGGATCTTTCCAGAAGTTCCGCTTAATAAGGACGCGCTGTTGAGGGTCTTGATGGTCTCCAAACTCTGACCCTGATATGTGAATGCTAGTCTATCGAATGAAGCTGGGCATATTACGGAGTGGAATCCACCTGTCGCTGTATGTGGAAATACCTTGATGCTTGAGGCGGGATCTACTACAATTTTGTGCACTCATGCTCACTGGGTCAGGTCCAGATATATATACCAAGGGGTTCCTATGTAGTACATATATTGAAGCTATTTTCTATTGAATAAAATATCTAGATACATTTCATAGCACATGTTGGACAACAGCCGGATCGTATGTATCCTCAGGGTAACATTTGAAGCCTAAAATATACCTGCAGTCGGACTGGAGATGCTGAGATACTGGGGCTGAGATGCTCAGGCTGAACAGCTAGTAGGATTGCAAAAAGTCGAGCACGTGGCGGGCAAACAGGTTCGCATATTGGTAAAGATGGCCATGGCCGCTGTCTGGATAAAGGATCAACTGCGCATTTGGTAATCTCTGTTGAAGAGTAAAGCTGTTAGGAGTGGGGATCATGAAGTCGTTCTAAGCAAATCATCAGTGTTAGCGCGCGGGTGGGACAGGCATCATGCCGGATTTAAGCTTGATGGATTCTTACATTTCCGTTTGTGATGAGAACTGGCGTCTTCAGTCCAGGGAGTCTATCATACGACCCGTTGCGGCCTCTTGTCTCATTCACCAGAAGCCATGATGAGGCCAGATTCGTTTGGGCTTCTACTCCCTTTCCGCCGTCTGTGAAATTAAAACTGAGCCAGTTGGATCGTTGCTCACCGCTCGTTGACACATTTCGTTCATAAATTCGGTCGAACCACGAGTTCAGGGCTGCTCCGCCGCGTAGGTCATGAGGGAAGAACAAAGTTGCAAAGTCGTCCCGTGTTAGATCGCGCCCACCAGCCAAAGTGTTGACTTGATCTTGATGGGATGGAGAATTGATGACGGTATCAGGGCCGCCGCTTGGGCCTGTTCCGGCAATGACGAGCTTTCTCACGGTGATATCCTCAGGGGCATTCAGAGCAACCATGGGGGCAATGTAGCCGCCGATGCTGAAACCGAGGAGATCAACTTCTTTCTCACCAAGGAGACTCAGAAATTGCAAGACATCATCCGCGGAATCCGCAACCGTCGAAGCCACTCTTCCAGTGCTGAACCCGACGCCCGAATAGTCCATCAGAATCACAGGGCGATGTTCCGCAAGCCCGTTGACCACCAACGGGTCCCAAAAGTCCATTGTGCCTCGATAATGAATCAGCATTAGAAGAGGGATACCCCAAGTCGCTCCCAGTCGCCGGAATGCGAATCTGTCGCCATTGGGCCGCTTGAGAAATTGCGTTTTCGCTGTCTGATGAGTCGACATGTCTTTTTATTTCCCGTTTTTTATCCTGTGGTAGAAGTGATGATGCTGATGCTGGAGATGAGATTGATGATTGCGATGATGAGGAGATCGTGATACATCAACAGCGCCGATATTTATATCCCAAGGCTACCATAACGAAGATGTGCTCGCATGTAAACGGCTCTGTGGCATTCTCGGATAGCTTTGCCTCTGCTTCGGGTTGGTCCGTGCTTCTTCATCATTGCTCGTGGTCATGATGTAGGATTGTGGCCGTTTGGGGATTCAATATGCCGAGATTATTAAATGGCCATTGAAAATAATATTGGAGTGACGAATCAAAAGTGATGCCGCTGATATTTATCATGACATGATTACTCAACAACGCTTGAATCAAGTTTGTTAATAAGTCTAGTTGAACCTGTGCTGACCATAATAGGAAACTGCCTTTCTAGGCGATTATCTCGTGCCTGACATTGAGCTGGGAAGCGTTGTTTGTTTGTTTTGTTTGTTTGTTTGTTTTATTATTAACGTCCACTAAGTAATCTAGTTACACAAGTCCTCATCTGGGCACTAGGACGGTAGGAGCCGCCGAGTTTAGATCGGGCGTTCGCTACGTTTCAATGTGACAAAGGAAATGGGGATATATCAATCTGTTTTACGTATCTGTTTCTGTAGGGGGGGGGGCCGTATGGGCTTGTCTCCTCCACTAGTTTCTGGAAGTCCTTGTACCCCCCGTCACCGAGGAGGTATTAGATGTAGGTGGTTCCGAAGCGCGCCTCCCTCTCCGGTACGTCGGGGAGGAAAGGGGCTACTATACGGCACTTTACAAAGTGCCCTTGTGTCCTTAGCTCCCCGCATTTGCAGGTAGGCCTAGTATCGTATCTAAATCTCTCATGGTATTCTATGAAGTCCCCGTGTCTAGACCTTTCGGCTAGCAGCCTGTGTAGGATTGGGCGTGGGAGATGTAGCTCCGGGGGCATAGAGGGGGCTTTGTAGAGGCCCCATCTACCTGCCTTGTAGGACTCTGGGTAGTTGTCGTTCCAGTTGTCGTCCTGTATTTCCCTGCGTTTTTTTTTTACCTACCTCTTGATGAAGGTAATGGTAGAGTAGTTTCTCGAGTGGCAAGGGAGTTCTGAACCCTCCTTTGCTAGTCGGTCGGCTTCTTCGTTTCCTAGTACGTCTTTGTGACCTGGGACCCAGGCTACCCTCGTGGTCACCCGTGGAAGTAGTTTCTGGGCGATTTGGCGTAGCCCCATGTAGGCTCCTTAGGACGAGGCGGGGGTTGGTCCTAGTATACCATCTACCACCGCTGAGTTATCTAAGAAGAGTAGAATCTCTCGGATGTCCGGGTTCGCGAGGGCGCGCGTCCTAGCTAGCTTTATAGCCTCGAAGGCGCCCACCGCCTCGGCGTCGTAGACCTCCGCGTTGGCGAGGGGACCGCATGCTGTAGTTCTTTTGAAATCATAGTATATAACGGCTCCCCAGCCCGTGTTGCCTTGTTTGTCCTGTGAACCGTCCGAGTAAGCAAGGAGGGTGGACCTGGGGAGGCCGTCGATTAGTTCTAGGTGTTTTTCCGCTGCCTCTAACTTCGGTAGGCCTCTGAAGTCCGGGCCTGCTCGGACCGTTCCGTTGTTCTTGGCGAAAAGGGAGGGTCGGACTGTTTTCCCTACCAGAGCTGCGGTGCGCTGCAGTCGGGTGGGGGGAACTCTGGGAGGGAGTTTCTTGTCGATGCGTCTACTGATCGGGTGGTGCTGGGAAGCGTTGCAGTGTAGGCTAAACTTTTGTATGAAGAATCTCACCGTCGGAGCAATCTACCCGAGCGATTATGTCAAAAGTCCCGACGCAGTCATTAATTGCTATACAATTAGATCTGACACAACGAAAACATGTCCAGTATTGCACTTTGACTATGTTACTGCATTTGATACAGCAAAAGGCGTGTAAAGAGAAAGGCAGCCATTACAACTATGCATGTGGCTGCGAATATGGTGTGCGCTGAAGCAAGTCGTATTAGATCATGTATTTATAAAGAGCCGTCTTCTTCCATCGCTACTCTCTTTTACTAGATAATGTTGTTTTATTTGAAGATATGCTCAAGACTAGCGCAAGTCTCTATCAACCACATCTTCCAAGACCGTCTCGTTCCTGGCTTCCGCAGCTTTGCGTGCCAGCTTGAGCCTCCTCGTGTCTCTCTCGGTATGCCGCGTGACCCACCACGTAACAGTGGTAACGACAAAACACAGGGCGACCAAAGACATGGCCACAGCAAAAGGAACCGTGTAATGAGGCGCATACTTGCTTCTGAAGATTTGAGGCCCAATGGCACCTCCAATCTGGCCATATGAATTAACAAAACCGATGGAGAATGCAGAACCCGTGGCTCTACTCGTGGTTTGGACTCGCCAGGGCCACATAAGGGGATACCAGCTTGCTGCGAAAGCGTTGCCAATCAAGGTAGCAGTATAAACCCCTGCGTTATTGGGATATGCGACCAACACAGCATAACAGGCGATGATAACTAATAAGCACCCGAGAGGATACAACGGTCTCGGATATCGGCCGCTGTCAGCAAATACTCCGGAGACGCCAATCACAATCAAGGAAGTAGCCGTAATCGGAATATTGAGAATTTGTGCAGTAGCGATATTCCTAATTTTATGTGTTAGCCATCTTGACCATTGAATTTAATTAGGCATATTGCGGGTGATCTTACGTGAAGCCCAAATTCGCAATCACAGTTGACTGATAGAAGCGCACGCCATTGGTGCCGATGGTATATATCGCCCAGATCAACGTAAATAACCAGAGTCGCACATCTTTGAGTGAGTCAACGATTTCACTGAACTTGAAGTTCTGTTCTTTGGCTCGTGGTGCATTTGCAGGTAGCCGAGCTTGTATAAAGGCTTTTTCCTTGTCTGTCAACCAGCTGGCGGTTTCCGGGACTGACAATCTCATGTTAGCCTAGTGATGTGTATTGGGTAGAAACAACTCACAATCTGGGAGAAGAAACCACACAGCAATGCCAAAAGCAACGGTAATCGCACCCTCTGTCAAGAATAACCTGTGTAGTGTTATTTGCCGGTGTCGTCCAGTGATTGAAAGTGAAGAGCATACCATTGCCACCCTGAAAGCCCGTGTGAGCCTGATGCATGATCAAAGGCAAAAGCCAACAGGCCACCTATGATGCCCGAACAGTTCCCACAGATATCTTCACGTTTGTTAGCCGGATTCACAAATCAGCGGTGCTGACAATACACTTACAGAAATACAAGAGTCTCAAGGACATTTCATCTGGTCGATACCAGTAACACATCTGTAAAAGAATACCTGCAAATTGGCCGGACTCCGCCTGGGGGCATTGGTAAGGATGTAGGTTCCATAAGAGAGAGATGAGATTGAACAACGTACAAGGCCGAGCAGAAACCGTGTGGCATACAAGCCGCCCTTGTTGTGAACTGCTGCGTGCAGCATCAGACAAATGCCCCATGTAATGATGATTCTGGATTGCCATTTTGATGGCGTAAAGTGTTTGAGTAGTAGATTTGACGGCGCTTCTCCAACAATGTATGGAATCTGGTGAACAGTTAGGAATGGTCGCTCATGTGCAAATAAGAAGAAACATTGTAACGTCATACATAGTATAAAACTGTTACCAGATTGTATTCATCGGATGTCATGCCAAGCTGAGTCATGATATTCTGATGAGTTCCTTGGTTCATGATTCGTGCATTTGAGACCTGAAGGACCACGACGTTAACTGGTGATGTGACACACATGCGGAGTAGTTGCCTACATTGTCAGAGTCTAAATTCTTAAACAAGAAAATAAGTGAGCACAATGGCATTAAATGCCAATCCACGCGTCTTAATAGCTTTTTCTCTTCCTCAGCTGTGAGAAGAGTTCTCCCAGCCATATCTGACCGGAAGCCATCGATAGTGTCTTCCTGAGGAAGATTGGAGATTTCCTCTCCTCGCTTTGCATAGTGAACTTGAATACTTTCATCGGATTCAACTGAAACAGTACTGGTTTGGATCTCTTCATCAGAACCTTTGCTGCCCGCCATTTTGTGTACTTGTCAAAAAGTCGTACAACAGATACCGCGCAATGATTAAACAGTTACCCGTCCCAATTATGTACCATTTACTATTTAAAGATTTACATATACTTTCAATCTTCTAAAAAAAGAGAGAAGCACTACTGATTATGCCAGAAACCCCTGTAAGCACGTACTGCAGAGCTAGTTTGCAATACACAACGATCGCGGACAACAGTCTACAATATTCCCAGCGATCACGGACAAGACAGTTTGATATCGGCAGTTGACAATTATTCGTATCAGACTTCAGCCGTTTTGACGTTATATCCGGTGCATCTATGCATATCATGCGCGCTCATCTGTCAGATCTCAACCCCTCTTCGGGGTAAGTGAGCTCGCCATCTTCGTGCATGATCACGCAAGATCTATGATCTCAAGTAACCAAACTTACAAATCGTACGAAAACTTAGTGGGGGAGATGAAACGAGGATGGGGAACACAAGCGCTGCAAACGCTATCATGAGCGCATGATGGATATTATAAGTATCTGAGTATGCCCCCACCTGAGATGCCCTCAATGGGAAGCGGTTGTTGAGTCGTAAATGAAACGCTGAAACGCAGGGCAGAATTATACATTATCTCTGATCTTTTTAACTGACTTTAAATCACGATGGCAGCAGTAGCAACCCCGGTCCTGGGATCTAATGATATCCCGACGTATCATCAGATACCGGAAACAAAATATGAACGTAAGAAACTAGCTTGAGTCCTTCTGCAGAATAAAATTAAAGATCTGTTGCTTATTTATGTTGAAAGTGGAATGGGCCGACCTAGTTACTCTGGATCTCTCTCAGTTTGACAAACCAGGTGGTAAAGAGCGCCTTGCGAAGCAGCTCCATGACGCCATTCAGAAGATTGGTAGGCTGTCTAACCCCCATCGCTGCCTTTGCTGGTGCTGATTATCTGGCGAAGGATTCTTTTACATTACCAACTTTGGGTTGAGCCAAGAGGCTGTTGATCGACAGTTTGCTATAGGCAAAGAGGTGTTTAACTTGCCCATGGAGGAAAAGCTCCAGTTCCGTGCTGAGCTAGAGAAAGGAGGCTACAACGGCTACAAGCCATTGGGATTGCGAGTAAGAAATATGCATCAGCTACATTTTTACCTTTTTGCTAATGACTATATGTGAAGGAAGTCGCTCCTGGAATTTTTGACAATACAGAGATCTACAACATACCCAAGTTTATACCAGCGTATGAACGCCCTCAACCGGAGATCATCAACCAACACCGCGATGAAATCGAGCAGTTTGCTCGGCACATTCACAACAATATTGCGGGAAAGCTGTTGGTTCTCTGTGCAATTGTACTGGAGCTACCAGAGGACTACTTTCTCAACTGCCATCGCTATGAGGAAAAGTCCGATTGTCATCTGCGGTACATGATTTACCATTCTCGCTCGGCAGAAGAGAACCAGGCTTTGGATAACGTCTGGGTAAAGGGACATACGGACTTCGGTTCCCTGACGCTCTTATTCCGTCAACCTGTTTCTGCTCTCCAGGTCAGAACACCAGAGGGTAACTGGCGATGGGTCCGCCCGTACCCAGAGAGCATTACTGTCAATCTCGCAGACTCATTGGACTTTTTAACAAACGGATTCTTGAAAAGTTCCATTCATAGGGTTGTCCGTCCACCTCCTGATCAGCAAGAGGTAGACAGACTTGGTGTTTTGTATTTCGTCCGACCAGAAGACAGCACCGAATTGAAGCCGGTTGCTAGCACAGTTTTGGAACGCCTGGGCTATGACAAAGTCACAGACACTGGGGCCGTTGGAATTACAGCTGGAGAATGGGTCAAGGCAAGAGTAGCCAAGGGAGTGGCCAAAGACAACCAGCCAAGAAGCGAAGTCGGAGAGCAGACGATTGTCGGTGGACTTACTGCCAAATATTATGATTAGATACATTACATAGTACATCTAAGCATCATCTTCGACGTATTTTTTGTACACTTGAGGGTAAAACTTTTGTCCGTTGGACCGATGGCTCCGAATCTTGGTTCTCAGCTGGCTTTCCCCCCACGTATCGTATTTGCCTCGTAAAAATGGTGAATCGACCGCTCGTCCAACATCTGATTCAGTGCCTGCATCTGGTTCAAAAGAAGAGAAGTGTTCTCGAAAGGACTCAATAGCTTCTTTCTTGGTGAGATTTCGTCGGACGCCTTGGAAAAAGGGTATGCTGTATCGTTCATCGTGGGTTGCGAGTACTCTGTGGATAGTGGCTTTGCAAGTGCGGTGTGTCAAGACTTCAAAAGCCTGACCGACGTTTACCACGAACGTGTCTGGAAGCACGGGGACATCAATCCAATCTCCAGTCTTGTTGAGAACTTGCAGTCCTCTGACATGCTTTTCTGACGCCTGAAGTAGAAATGTCCACCAACCGGAAGAGTCTGTGTGCGGGCCAACGCCTTGAGTGATGCCCGAATCAGGAGCAGCGGCAGGGTAATGTACAGCCTTGAGTCGGTGCTGATCCGAGAGAAACGAGTGAAATGTTTCTTTGGGTAAGTCCAGTGCTTGCGCAACAAGAGAAAGGAATCGCTCTCCAAGTAGAGTCAACTCGGTAATGTATTTATCCACGACAGGTCTGAGTTCCGGTATTTCAGATGGCCACTACACAGCAGTGAGTTAGCGTTTAAACAGACTTTGCATGAGATAACATCCGACATCGGTGGGTTTGACTACTACTCACCTGATTGGGGCCTCTTAGACTCTCGTAAAGAGGAGCATCCGGATCAGATACAGCAGTCAACTCTGTTGCAAATTCCACTTGCTCTCTTGCGTCGGCCTTTGCCGCTGTAGTTTCGCTACCTACAGCGCTGTAACCGAGAAAATGCTTAGAGTTTTCCAAGGCAATCCTGCTTTTTGCGTCATCGGGTAGGCTAAATAGTCTTGGAAGAATGTCCACAAGATCTTGAATCACTTGGGAAGGCACCTTGTGGTTCGAGACATAGAGAAATCCTATGTCTATTAATGCGACGCGGAGAGCGCTGAGAAGGGTTGGAAGCGTCTTGGGGTCATCTGCCAGGGCCAGGTCGATTACGGGAATCTCTTGAAAGTTAGTGGTAGCGGCTGTCATTGTTTCGGTACAGTTGACGGCGTACTTTCGTCATGAGAACAGTGAAAGCTTCGCCAAATTGTCAGGCTCAAAATTGTATTCCCAAGACAGTGAAGTGAAGCTTCCGAGTAACCGAGTTAGCTTGCGTATAATCGGCTGTTGTGAAGTTGACGGACGCTCTACGTAAGATGGCGTGCTTGGCTTATGTAAATCCGGTACGGACCGTGTTGATCTTTTACCCGGAAGCTTGTCAATAGAGTTGAGCCATTGAACCTCCTCTTGGTCAAAGAGAAGGAATGTTTAACGTACAGAGAATCAGTTCTATAGACGTACAATGAGCATGTCCATCCGCTGTTGCTATAGCTGCACTATTGTTTTCCTACTGTGGGAGGCTTCATTTGTTTACAGGTCATGTACTTTGTAGTCGATGCGCAACTCAATCTCGGTACACTAAATCTCCTCACTCCTCCAGCTGGTATACTACATTTTGAAATAAAATATTAATTATTTTCAATACGGGCTTTACTATAGCTCAACCTGCTGTCAGCGACAGTTTTCGCATCTGCTGCATGCTGGTGAGCGATGGCGCTGGTACCTGCGGAGTTGAGGCTGGCAGCCGACTGTTTTAATCTGGTCCACTGTAGCGCTCGACCTCTTATAACCAGCAGACTCCATCACTCTAAACGCTCCAGCTGCCATTATTTGGTCCAATCCATTGCCCTGTTAGTGTAACGGTATGGCAGATCCCAACATTATTACCATCCAAGCGGATCATTCGACCGTGCCATCATTCATCGGGATAGCCCTATTGCTTAAATAGAGACCTAGCTTCAGATTAGGCAAGTTGCTACTCTTTGTTGTTACAACCGGGTTGTGCAACATGGTAAATAACGTGTACCGGCTGATGGTCAGATATTCTCTACTAGATCACCTGCTTATCCGGAGTTTAGTGCTAATCTCTAGTGTAGATGACTTTGCATGAGCTCTTCACCTCGAAATGCTGAAACAACTCCCTGTCTGTGGTGCTATTTCAATAAGTGAGCTGAGTAAGACAAACAAGAAATTTGGACGAACAGGCTGTCACTCTTCCCGCACGCTTCTCATCAGTGGTTAGTGAACTAAAGCAAGTTTAGAAGTTATTCATTCCGAGCCACCTTTGGTAACTTGATTCCAGTTCGCTCGGAGCCCCTCTCCCCAGATGGGAGCTTTTGATCACGAAAACCTCTCTTGCCAGTTGCCAATTTGGGCATGTCAAAACATATTTAGGCTTACACATCTCTGTAAGCTACCGATAGAACGTTGTAATCCTGGGGATCATTGAAGCGCCCGTCGGCCGGCCGGAATCCTCGAAAGAAGAAAGGTGCGCGCTCTATCCTATACGCACAGCACTCCATCCTGTTCTTAGAGAATACGCAAGACTCTATCTTCAATATGAGGCAGATAAACCACGTTCCCCCACATAACATGGCCTACAGTTACTTTGACTCCATATTGATGCAAGGGCAAGACAAGCATGGGCTGCTGCAAGGATATCAGTTATCTATGCCATGTCCAGGTATGGCATGCTGTAAAGAGCAGCGTCATTATTCCCGATGCGCCGAGACAGCTAGACATTCCCTATCGGTATTCGGTATACCCAGAGTAGAGCGTGTGCATGTCACCATCCCAAAATGCTGGGACTGTACTCCATAGACGTCAAACACATGCACTTGCTTGACATGGTCGCTGTGCCGTTATCAGCTGTGGCTCGCTGCATGCAAGCCGCGCTGCGTGTGATGCTGCTGCAGGTCACAGGCCCATGCATTCCTACCACCGCTGTTGCTGTGACCATGTGCCGGCTGGACTTGGTGCTTGGTGATGCTATGGATGTAACATCACAAGGCTCGCGCCGGGGCGGATAATATTCATCGGCCAAGACAGAAGCCGCACGAGCCAAAACTCCGTACCAATAGTAAGCGGCTCTCTCTAATCAGCCTGCTAACGAGAGACGAATCCTGCCCCATGTCTTCGTGGGGTGTCTTAACCGGGGACCCTGGAGCGATGCTCCGTTAGTCTAATAAACCTCCCACCAAGAGATACCCATGGGCCTCTATCACATTCATTCCAGTCGAGTCGTTACATGACCATCAATAGCTGCTTTTTAAACGTCACAAATCAGTGTCGCTTGAAGGGAAGTAATATGCAGACTCGTCCGAAGCTTCATAGAGACAGTATATTGATGCCTTATGTTTTTTGTAGAGAATGCCGGGTTTGCCGTGTCGCGGTATGGAGGGCATTTCTCTTCTAATTACACTGCTATGCCGTCTAAACAATTCGGGCCTTCCTAATGGATGCCTAAGCGCCTCATCAGTTGGTGTCGCGAAAGCCAAAGAGCAGCTTGACAAACTAATGATTGCTAGCGTCCGAACCCAGCTCTCGCATCGGCCCAGGGATTGGAGCACACTGTAAATATGCAATTACAGTAGCTGATTCAGATCCTAATAGCACTTAATAGTCTATCTGTGATAATCTGTGCTCTGTAGATTTGGTCGAGATACAGCAAGCCACAGCACATTCGACGTTGTGTGAGCTAGTCATCTCCCTGGTCAGTTGGGTCGACGAGATAACTAACATAGCCAGCCAGCCCTTGTACCGTAAGATTTGCTCCGAAACCGACCTCAACTATCACAATTGTAGAAACTCTGGCGATTTGAATCTGATGGGTCCCACAAAGCCTTTGAAAGGAGTGAGAAAAAAAAAAAAAGTAACCCGGCTCGCGATACACTGCACACCCACAGCCCATGTAACTTGAGACGTTCCCACGAGGCACAAAGCACCCCGGATTTCGTTTCTGAGCCATTCTGCACGAGCCGTTACCCATGCACAGCAGCCACAGCAGCGACCCAGCGTGACATTTGATGTGGTAGCACGAGGTGTGCAGAAGACCATCGTGTTTGCTTCCTCAGAACCGTTGTAACCCCAGATGTAAATATGCCGCATCGATCCCGTGCACACGCTTGGATGCATAGAGGTAGAGTGAAGAATGAAAATGATGCTGGAAGTGACTGATAACGGGCATGAGTTACTGAACTGGTCGCATGAGAGGAATCTAGGTATCAAGCCCCTCTAACCCTCTGGGGGGCGTGAGACAGGCAACGGGTTTGGCACTCCTACCTTACAAAAGCAGCGTGGCCTCAAACGCCTCACGATGCTAGAGCTCCCTGATTGAGTCTAGACTGCTGGTCTTGGTAGCCGAATTACCGATCCGTGTAGCAGCAATCCAGGAACGCGAGATCCACGCAGCCAATCGCCTTCGTCGCCAGTTCTTCATTGAGAAGCTGAGTCGGCTCTCCCATTCTCTGTGTCGACGACGGGTGGTCCGTCACTTGATCCTTCATCTGCTTCTAGCGGGATGCCGTCCACGCGATTGAGGGCCGACATGTAACGTCTCACTTCCCCCATTGGATGCAGCGCCTAGATTAGACAAGGCATTTTTGGAATGATGAGGAAACGGGGAGTGAGGCCATCATAAAACGAATTTGGACGAGTTTCCCGATTCATTATGCTCTTTGATGATGTTTAAATACACCTTGCCATTCCCTCTGTCGATGGTTTCTTCCTTGAGTCTCAACAGGAGCTTCTTCACCACCACAACATCCACCACGGATATCGCAAGATCCTAGACGGGTCTGTCCTTTCCTTCTGCTCGATATTATTATCTTCTTCGTATATATACTCTATTTTCTGTGTACATATCGCTATACATACAACATGTTCTTCTCAAAGGTCGCATGTGGCGCTGGCCTCCTTGCCAGCCTCGTCTCGGCAGCTCCCAGCCCGATCGCTCGCCGACAAGCACCAGGTGCTAAAAACGTCGTTTACTGGGGCCAAAATGGCGGGGGCACA